TCCTCTTTACTAATATCTATCAGTGACCAGCTTTCAGGAAACACTTAAGCTTAATGCAACTGCGCATGCTCTAGGCAGGAAGTCGTCACTTCTTTCAAATAATTATCCCCGAAACGCGTTTTAAAATGCGCTCCGTCAGTCCGTCCGTCCGTGCGTCCGACCGTGCACATTCTGTCTTTTCCGAAGCAGAACTGTAAAACCGTTCAATATTTCTTCACCAAACTTGGCACATAGATAGGTCTGGTGGTGAACTGGTGACTTTGGTATTTTTTGGATTTCTGTATAAAATATGTTTTGGCGTTTCCATGGCAACAGGTTTGACTTTGAAATTGGTGGTAGTGTTCTTTTCCGAGCAGAACTGTAAAACCGTTCACTATTTCTTTACCAAACTTGGCACATAGATAGGTCTGGTGGTGAACTGGTGCCTTTTGGTAGTTTTGGATTTCTGAATAAAATAGTTTTTGTGTGTTTCCATGGCAACAAGTTTGACTACGACTAAATTTGGTGGTTGTGCTCTTTTCAGGAGCAGATCTGTAAAACCGTTCACTATTTCTTTACCAAACCTGGCACATAGATACGTCTGGTGGTGGTACTGGTTCGTTTTGGAATTCTGAATAAAATATATTTTTGCGTTTCATGGCAACAGGTTTGACTTTGAAATTGGTGGTTGTACTCTTTTCCGGAGCAGAACATTAAAACCGTTCACTATTTCTTCACCAAACTTTCCACATAGATAGGTATGGTGGTGTACTGGTGCCTTTGGTATTTTGGAATTTGAATAGCATATCTTTTGTGTTTCCATGGCAACAAGTTCGACTTCGACTAAATTTGGTGGTTGTGCTCTTTCAGGAGGAGAACTGTAAAACCGTTCCTATTTCCTCACCCAATTTGGCACATAGATAGGGTCTGGTGGTGTACAGGTTCGTTTTGGTAGATTTGGAATTCTGAATAAATATATTTTTTGCGTTTCATGGCAACACGTTTGACTTTGAAATTGGTGGTTGTACTCTTTTCCGGAGCAGAACATTAAAACCGGTCACTATTTCTTCACCAAACTTTCCACATAGATAGGTATGGTGGTGTACTGGTGCCTTTTGGTATTTTTGGAATTCTGAATAGCATATCTTTGTGTTTCCATGGCAACAAGTTCGACTTCGACTGGACTTGGTGGATGTGCTGTTTTCCGGAGCAGAACTCTAAAACCCTTCCCTATTTCTTCACCAAACTTGGCACATAGATAGGTCTGATGGTGTACTGGTGCCTTTTGGTAGTTTTTGGAATTCTGAATAAAATAGTTTTTGTGTTTCCATACCAACAAGTTTGACTTCGACTGAATTTGGTGGTAGTGCTCCTTTCTGGAGGAGAACTTACAAACCGTTCAATACTCTCCTTCCACTTTGCCATATAATCCTAACTAGTAGACATACTCATGAAGAGTATTTTGCCGTTGCGGGGGATATTGATGACTTTGTTTTCTTGGTTTCATCGTTCCAGACACTGATCATTTGGGGAGGTTGTGGGGATTACCTCCTGTAACAGAGATATTCTTCGAATAATGCAATAATGATAGCCAGTGATTGCTAATTCTATCGGATTAACTGCCTCAGTCACGTCATAGAAGGTGTTAACAGAGGTGGTACAACAGCTGGTGTCGAGTATATACCAGATGGTTGGCCGCAGTGATAGCCTCTGTCTCTGTTCTGATTTATTTCACAGGTATTCATGACGTTCTTGATGATGTCACTATATTTCCGCCAACTCCTAGAAGACTTGAGACCCAAAGGCGAACCATGTACTTTTGTATTCACATGGAATATCTGTACACAAATAAACACATATTAACACAAACCACTCGAACGGAGAACCATCCAACCCGACCTCAGAAGATATGGGCACACGAGTGTCTGTGCATGTATGTGCGCACGCATGTGTGTAGACGATAAATAGGGAATCTCACCCGAGTGTCTTGTCACTACGTCACCTGTAATAAGTTCATTTGAAGGCTTGCGTATGAGTACATCCAAGTTAACAAGAGTGGTGGGAGAGGGAACGAGTGACACCATTACGACATAAAAGACAAGCACATAAATAGTAGTGCTAACATGTATTGCTTTAAATTCTGCAATGCATACGTTTCACCATTTCTTGGTGGCATTTTAAGTAAACATTTATGTCGTTAGAACAAATCATGACTTAATTGCGGTGGTCTTCTTTGTATACAGCAAAGGGAGATGAAAGTAGTCCGAAAATACTGACCAATCGGCTATTAGCTCAAAACTTATCAAACGATATCTCCTCTGGAAACCAGTATTGGATGATAACTAGATGTCCCATGTTTTCTAAAAAGCCATCCCGCCACTGTACATAGCGTTTTCTGACGAAGGCTTACAACAGACGAAGAGCCGTTTTCTGTGTTTGTAACATTTAGTGGCAATGTAATATTTAAGAGCTGTTATGGGGCAAAGCAGGCTGCATGGATAATCTACAGTCCTGTTATAAGCGGGAACAGTGCATTGTCCATGCTGGGGCTGTCCAAATGCCGGTGGCGGAATTTTGACAATTAGTTCCGGAAGTGATCTGTGTTTTTGTTCTCCAGTCTTGTAAGGAGGCATCAGTTGGACGTAATTCTCACTCCTGGCTGCAGTGGCGGTAAGAGCTGTCCTCGTAGCTAGTACCTTGACAGCACGGGTGTAAATTCCATTTCTGGGAGGTGCGGGGTATTTCGACATGTTCCAATGAAAATTGACTGGATGACTGCCACAGCATGAAGAAAGCGGTCTGATTCGTGTTGACATATCGTTCAATCCGGGGACACGACACAAGGGTCCCGTCTGGCTGTCAGTGGTAGATCGAGCAAGGAGAAAGCGGTCTGGTTCGTGTTGACATATCGTTCAATCCGGGGACACGACACAAGGGTCCCGTTTGGCTGTCATTGGTAGATCGAGCAAGGAGAAAGCGGTCTGATTCGTGTTGACATATCGTTCAATCCGGGGACACGACACAAGGGTCCCGTTTGGCTGTCATTGGTAGATCGAGCAAGGAGAAAGCGGTCTGGTTCGTGTTGACATATCGTTCAATCCGGGGACACGACACAAGGGTCCCGTTTGGCTGTCATTGGTAGATCGAGCAAGTTCTTTAGTTCTTGTTTAACGACATATTCCAACTGTATGACGGCAATCTGTAAATAATGGGCCAGAACAATCGGGTGATTGGTACGCATTTTGAGATACGATCTGCAAGCCTGACGTCCCCGATCCTGTTAGGCGACTAAAATAATCATTGGTAGCTGAATATCAAATCTACTCCAGATCTTTATGAGATAGTGAGTGAGTTTAGTTTACACCGCACTCAGCAATATTCCAGCTATATGGTGGTGGTCTGTAAATAATCGAGTCTGGACCAGACAATCCAGTGATCAACAGCAGGAGCATCGATCTGCGAAAGTTGGGAACCGATGACATGTAATCAACCAAGTCAGCGAGCCTGACCACCCGATCCCGTTAGTGGCATCTTACGACAAGCATGGGTTACTGAAGGTTCATTCTAACCCGGACCTTCACGGGTAGACAAGCATGGGTTACTGAAGATTCATTCTCAACCGGCCCTTAACGGGTAGACAAGCATGGGTTACTGAAGATTCATTTCTCACCCGGCCCTTCACGGGTAGACAAGCATGGGTTACTGAAGATTCATTCTCACCCGGCCCTTCACGGGTAGACAAGCATGGGTTACTGAAGATTCATTCTCACCCGGCCCTTCACGGGTAGACAAGCATGGGTTACTGAAGGTTCATTCTCACCCGGCCCTTCACGGGAGACAAGAATGGGTTACTGAAGATTCATTCTCACCCGGCCCTTCACGGGTAGACAAGCATGGATTACTGAAGATTCATTCTCACCCGGCCTTCACGGGAGACAAGCATGGATTACTGAAGATTCATTCTCACCCGGCCCTTCACGGGAGACAAGCATGGGTTACTGAAGATTCATTCTCACCCGGCCCTTCACGGGTAGACAAGCATGGGTTACTGAAGGTTCATTCTAACCTGGCCCTTCACGGGCTTTATGAGACAGATCGAGCACGGTCCTTGCGTGACAGGTTGTGACAGCATACTCCGTTTTAGTAACTCACGTAGGTTTTGAGGAACTGTCCTGTTAGAGGACGATTTCACTGGGCGACAGGAATTGGGGATGACATCCACACTTGGACAAACTGGAGATTTTACATCTCATGAATGGGAATGAAGGAAATACAGGTGAATCCAACCTGCTCCAGTTTCATGTCGATCCTAATGTCATTGTCCATGTGAAGCATTACTTCCCAGATTCTTTGCGCCCTCCTCTTATCTTATAAAAAAAAATGTACATTGTTATGTCAATCTGCGTCTTAATAATGTAGTAATAATGTAGAATATTTTTAACGCGCCTTTCCAGGTTTCATATCCTGCTCAAAGCGCACAAATATAATCTGACTATTATTTTCCCCGGATAACCCAAGCTGCCTGTGAGGCGCTAGAAGGTTAATAGTCACATGACTGATCCCACCGAGTACCCATTTTCTGCTGTGTGAACAGAGTCAACTTTGAACAAACTCTTTTGCCAAAGGTGAGACCACATGTATCACATGTGCTTCATTGTGGTGCAGAGTCTGAAGTCCTAGAAACTCTCAGGAGTCAAGCTGCCAAACACGGTCACCCATCCAAACCCTCTCCGTCCAACGTTGCTTAACTTCAACTAATTGGTGACCTGAGCTCTATGCACAGGACCACACACCACCACAAAACTGCATCTAAATTCTTCCTATTCATATCGATTAGCATCCGAGTTTTGAAATTAACGTCGGTCCTTAGGCCCGAAGCCGACAGAAAACCACTCGGACCCACAGCTTTGTTTTCTGCAGGTCCTTATGGCCGACAGCTTTTTCAGTCCAACTTTTTGGATGTCGTCTGTTCCAGAAAGGGCTGGATGATATGGAGGATAACACAAAGTATGACACTGCTATGACTTTTGTAAATTTTTATTTACACTGCTGTTCTTATTGCACATGTACCAACACTGCATGATAACGAAATTTCAGCCTGGTTTTCATAAATACATAATAATTTGTGTCCGTAACAAACACTTTCTGTAATATACATCAATAGTAATTATCTAAAAATTACACAAATACGAACATGGCACTCAAGGGAAAAACTTTTAATCACAGTTCTTCCAATTTAAAATTTTAAACATATACACATTCTTACTGTATATGCCATTACTCAAGATTCATTTTTATCACTGTTTAGCCTAAAATGTTTATATAGGAATGTTTTCAAAATCAGGATGCCATGTCAAAAAGCAGTTATTGTACAAGTGTATAAGAGTTATACTTGTATGCTGTTGAACAACAGCTGTGGGTCTGTAGAGTGGAGTCAGTGCCATGTCTCACCGTGTCGCACTCTTCGACTGTCACAACTCCTATACATCATCACTGAATTATGATGGTTGAATTGGTTACATTGCTCTGAGAAACGAAGCCCAGAGCGAGACCCAGAACAATGCCCAGAACGAGAAGCCCAGAGCGAAGCCAGAACTATCCCCAGAACTATGCCCAGAAACGATGTCCAGAACGAAGCCCAGAGCATGTCCAGAGCGAAGCCCAGAGCGAAGCCCAGAGCGATGCCCAGGGCGGAAGCCCATCATGAACACAATGAGTGAGCATGTTCCGGCACTCCCATAACCTCAAACTCTCTCAAATACAAACATCGGCTGGAGAGTTTCATCAACTGGTCTTAAGACTTGTGTTTCTTGCTGGGTGGCTCTGCATCATTAGGTCCGTGGGTGGGAGCTGGGGTACACTGAACCCTGGGATCTGGAACAGTTAGTGAGATGGGTTTGAGTTTTGCTACAGGAAGATAATGGATACATGTGAATATCTACCAAGCAATTCTATGGCAGATATCATAGGTAACTGTCCCCCTGATCTGGGTGAGCTAGGACCCCATGACCCCATGGCACAGTCATACTCTGTATCCATAACATCCTCCTCAAATAAGTAAGATCTTTCAATTAGTACTCACCTGATGCTGAACTAGCTTGATGCTGAACCAGTGATGGCTACTCACCAGAGGCTGAACCAGTGATGGCTACTCACCAGAGAGCTGAACCAGTGATGGCTACTCACCAGAGGCTGAACCAGTGATGGCTACTCACCTGAGGCTGAACCAGTGATGGCTACTCACCTGAGGCTGAACCAGAAATGGCTGCCCACCTGAGGCTGAACCAGTGATGGTTACCCACCTGAGGCTGAACCAGTGATGGCTACCCACCTGAGGCTGAACCAGTGATGGCTTCTCACCTGAGGCTACTCACCTGAACCAGCAATGGCTTCTCACCTGAGGCTGAACCAGTGATGGCTACTCACCAGAGGCTGAACCAGTGATGGCTACTCACATGAGGCTGAACCAGAGTGATGGCTACTCACCTGAGGCTGAACCAGTGATGGCTACCCCTGAGGCTGAACCAGTGATGGCTACCCACCTGAGGCTGAACCAGTGATGGCTACCCACCTGAGGAGGCTGAACCAGTGATGGCTACCCACCTGAGGCTGAACCAGTGATGGCTTCTCACCTGAGGCGGAACCAGCAATGGCTTCTCACCTGAGGCTGAACCAGTGATGGCTACTCACCTGAGGCTGAACCAGTGATGGCTACTCACCTGAGGCTGAACCAGTGATGGCTACTCACCTGAGGCTGAACCAGTGATGGCTACTCACCTGAGGCTGAACCAGTGATGGCTACCCACCTGAGGCTCAACAAGTGATGGCTACCCACCTGAGGCTCAACCAGTCATGGCTACTAACCTGAGGCTCAACCAGCTTGATGCTGAGCTTCATGTGTTGCTCATTGGACCTGTCTATGCTGAGTTGGACCACCAGCCTGTCAAACACATGGAAGGTGTGTGCGCCGCCAGTCTGGGTCTGCTCCTGCAGCACAAGGAAACAGAAAACAACAGTGAAGCCGAACTTCCACTTGTACCTAAAATAAAGGGTGTCACGCTTGACTTCCACTTGTACCTAAAATAATGGGTGTAATGCTGACTTCCACTTGTACCTAAAATAGTGGTAGTCGCAGCTGACTTCCACTTGTACCTAAAATAATGGGTGTCGCTTCTGACTTCCACTTGTACCTAAAATAATGGGCTGCAGCAATGACTTCCACTTGTACCTAAAAATAATGGGTGTCGCTGACTTCCACTTGTACCTAAAATAATGGGTGTCGCTGACTTCCACTTGTACCTAAAATAATGGGTGTGCAGCTGACTTCCACTTGTACCTAAAATAATGGGTGTCGCTGACTTCCACTTGTACCTAAAATAATGGGCGTCACTGACTTCCACTTGTACCTAAAATAATGGGTGTACGCTGACTTCCACTTGTACCTAAAATAATGGAGTTACGCTGACTTCCACTTGTACCTAAAATAATGGGCTTGCTGACTTCCACTTGTACCTAAAATAATGGGTGTCGCTGACTTCCACTTGTACCTAAAATAATGGGTGTATGCTAAAATGACTTCCACTTGTACCTAAAATAATGGGTGTAACGCTGACTTCCACTTGTACCTAAAATAATGGGTGTCTGCTGACTTCCACTTGTACCTAAAATAATGGGTGTACGCTGACTTCCACTTGTACCTAAAATAATGGGTGTCGCTGACTTCCACTTGTACCTAAAATAATGGGTGTACGCTGAGAAAATATGTTTTCCTGCACTCAAACACTTCCAAATTTGTGAGAGGGAAACAACAAGAATCGCATCAAAGGTTATAAACAGTCAATATTCTGTGGTGAGATCCCTTGGATAGCTTTGAGAAAGGTAATTTGTTCCAGAAAATAGAACTTCTTCATGTCTTCCTATCAGGTCATCAACCCAAATTCAAAAGCCACCCCAGCCTAGAATGTAATAAAGAATAATTGTCATGAGTGGTCAACCCGGTGCTTGTGTGCCTGAAAATTTGAACATGATAGATACTGTTGTTTTATGTTTCAGTCAGCATATCAAATCTGGATCAGGCAAACTCGTGGTTGATAGCACAAGCACTAACACATGCTGTTAGTCTATAGTTGGATCACCCATGACAGCTAATACAGCTCACTTGGAAATCAGTTCTGTTAGTCTATAGTTGGGTCACCCATGACAGATAATACAGCTCACTTGGAAATCAGTTCTGTTAGTCTATAGTTGGGTCACCCATGACAGATAATACAGCTCACTTGGAAATCAGTTCTGTTAGTCTATAGTTGGGTCACCCATGACAGATAATACAGCTCACTTGGAAATCAGTTCTGTTAGTCTATAGTTGGGTCACCCATGACAGCTAATACAGCTCACTTGAAATCAGTTCTGTTAGTCTATAGTTGGGTCACCCATGACAGCTAATACAGCTCACATGGAAATCAGTTCTGTTAGTCTATAGTTGGGTCACCCATGACAGATAATACAGCTCACTTGGAAATCAGTTCTGTTAGTCTATAGTTGGGTCACCCATGACAGCTAATACAGCTCACTTGGAAATCAGTTCTGTTAGTCTATAGTTGGGTCACCCATGACAGATAATACAGCTCACATGGAAATCAGTTCTGTTAGTCTATAGTTAGGTCACCCATGACAGATAATACAGCTCACTTGGAAATCAGTTCTGTTAGTCTATAGTTGGGTCACCCATGACAGATAATACAGCTCACTTGGAAATCAGTTCTGTTAGTCTATAGTTGGGTCACCCTTGACAGATAATACAGCTCACTTGGAAATCAGTTCTGTTAGTCTATAGTTGGGTCACCCATGACAGCTAATACAGCTCACATGGAAATCAGTTCTGTTAGTCTATAGTTGGGTCACCCATGACAGATAATACAGCTCACTTGGAAATCAGTTCTGTTAGTCTATAGTTGGGTCACCCATGACAGCTAATACAGCTCACTTGGAAATCAGTTCTGTTAGTCTATAGTTGGGTCACCCATGACAGATAATACAGCTCACTTGGAAATCAGTTCTGTTAGTCTATAGTTGGGTCAGCCATGACAGATAATACAGCTCACATGGAAATCAGTTCTGTTAGTCTATAGTTGGGTCACCCATGACAGATAATACAGCTCACTTGGAAATCAGTTCTGTTAGCCTGCTGTTCCCTTACCTCCTCATTAAACATAAACATTGCATCATCAGATTTGAGGAACAGTGTACCCTCCAGACCATATTTTGGGATTAGAACCTGCAGCGCATTCTTCCTGACAAATAACACATAGCCTTCTTCATCTTCCACTCGCTTCTTGAAGAACAACTGAAAGACAATTGTAACCATAGTAACACAACAGCAGTGTGTAGAGGTATGTCATTGTTATAAAGAACTGAAAGACAATTGTAACCATGGTAACACTAGAGATCTGCATGGAGGTACATCAGGTCGTCATGAAGAACATATTGTAACTATGGTAACACTATACTAGTGGGTGGAGATATGGCAGGTCAATAGTTATGAAGAACAGTTGAATGACTTGTAACCGTGGTAACACTTTACTGGTGGGTGGAGAAATGTCAGGTTGATAGTCATGAAGAGCAGTTAAATGGCTTGTAACCTTGGTAACACTACAATGGTGGGTGGAGACATGTCAGGTTGATAGTCATGAAGAGCAGCTGAATGACTTTGTAACCATGGTAGCACTATACTGGTGGATGGAGATATGTCATGTCGATATAGACTGGTTGCCAAGAATACTTACATGAGTGTGGAGGTTGACAGAAGCCCGACCAGCATACTAGCCATCTTGTGTCGGAAGTTCAAGTTGTTACACAAGGCCTGCAAGACAAACACATCCAATAGTGACATTTTAAGAGAGGGAGGAATGTTCCTTCATGCCATGGCAGGGATTCATTGTTACATTAAGCCATCATCAATAACATTACATCTACACTATAGCCCATGTTTCTGTGTTGCTGTTATGGCTTGTGACTCTGTTGGCTGCCATGGCAGCTGTCAGTATCATCAGGCATGTTGCAAGATACAAACACTGTACCTGTGTTTTGTGTTTCTCGAGGAGGGCTGGAGTGCAGCGCTCTGCTCCAATACACACTGCCAACAGTCGGGTGGGCAATGATGTCCAGTATCTGCAACACAGAAGCAAGCATGAATAAAGATGTGTCACTGGAACTCACCTCATCTATTTCTGAAGATGGGTTAAGAAATACTGGTTTCAATAATTGATCCAGAAACACTTCTTTAAACGAGCGGACAGATGAACTGACAAGATTGATGGATGGCGTCCCCATTTTTTAGGGACTGAAATTATATCACATTGTCTGCACATATCTTGTCTGTACATATGTGGGATGGTCAGAGGCTGAAAACAGGACTAGCTTCTGATAAAATATGCTAAGTGGTGATAGAGTGGAGTACCTTCTGATGGGAGATGTTAAGTGGGGATAGAGTGGAGTACCTTCTGATGGGAGATGTTAAGTGGGGATAGAGTGGAGTACCTTCTGATTGGAGATGTTAAGTGGGGGTAGAGTGGAGTACCTTCTGATGGTAGATGTTAAGTGGGGATAGAGTGGAGTACCTTCTGATGGGAGATCTTAAGTGGGGATAGAGTGGAGTACCTTCTGATGGTAGATGTTAAGTGGGGATAGAGTGGAGTACCTTCTGATGGGAGATGTTATTAGGGGATAGAGTGGAGTACCTTCTGATGGGAGATGTTAAGTGGGGATAGAGTGGAGTACCTTTTGATGGTAGATGTTAAGTGGGGATAGAGTGGAGTACCTTCTGATGGGAGATGTTAAGTGGGGATAGAGTGGAGTACCTTCTGATGGGAGATGTTAAGTGGGGATAGAGTGGAGTACCTTCTGATGGTAGATGTTAAGTGGGGATAGAGTGGAGTACCTTCTGATGGGAGATGTTACGTGGGGATAGAGTGGAGTACCTTCTGATGGGAGATGTTACGTGGGGATAGAGTGGAGTACCTTCTGATGGTAGATGTTAAGTGGGGATAGAGTGGAGTACCTTCTGATGGGAGATGTTGCATTGGGGATAGAGTGGAGTACCTTCTGATGGGAGATGTTACGTGGGGATAGAGTGGAGTACCTTCTGATGGGAGATGTTACGTGGGGATAGAGTGGAGTACCTTCTGATGGGAGATGTTAAGTGGGGAGAGTGGAGTACCTTCTGATGGGAGATGTTACGTGGGGATAGAGTGGAGTACCTTCTGATGGGAGATGTTACGTGGGGATAGAGTGGAGTACCTTCTGATGGGAGATGTTACGTGGGGATAGAGTGGAGTACCTTCTGATGGGAGATGTTACGTTAGGGATAGAGTGGAGTACCTTCTGATGGGAGATGTTGCGATGGGGATAGAGTGGAGTACCTTCTGATGGTAGATGTTAAGTGGGGATAGAGTGGAGTACCTTCTGATGGGAGATGTTACATTGGGGATAGAGTGGAGTAACTTCTGATGGGAGATGTTACGTGGGGATAGAGTGGAGTACCTTCTGATGGGAGATGTTAAGTGGGGATAGAGTGGAGTACCTTCTGATGGTAGATGTTAAGTGGGGATAGAGTGGAGTACCTTCTGATGGGAGATGTTAAGTGGGGATAGAGTGGAGTACCTCCTGATGGGAGATGTTGCGGTGGGGATAGAGGTGGAGTACCTTCTGATGGTAGATGTTAAGTGGGGATAGAGTGGAGTACCTTCTGATGGGAGATGTTACGTGGGGATAGAGTGGAGTACCTTCTGATGGGAGATGTTAAGTGGGGATAGAGTGGAGTACCTTCTGATGGGAAGATGTTAAGTGGGGATAGAGTGGAGTACCTTCTGATGGGAGATGTTAAGTGGGGATAGAGTGGAGATAGATGTTAAGTGGGGATAGGAGTGGAGTACCTTCTGATGGTAGATGTTAAGTGGGGATAGAGTGGAGTACCTTCTGATGGGAGGGGAGATGTTACGTTAAGGGGATAGAGTGGAGTACCTTCTGATGGGAGATGTTACATTAGGGATAGAGTGGAGTACCTTCTGATGGGAGATGTTAAGTGGGGATAGAGTGGAGTACCTTCTGATTGGAGATGTTACGTGGGAGAGGTGGAGTACCTTCTGATGGGAGATGTTACGTGGGGATAGAGTGGAGTACCTTCTGATGGGAGATGTTACATTGGGGATAGAGTGGAGTACCTTCTGATGGGAGATGTTAAGTGGGGATAGAGTGGAGTACCTTCTGATGGGAGATGTTACATTAGGGATAGAGTGGAGTACCTTCTGATGGGAGATGTTAATTGGGGATAGAGTGGAGTACCTTCTGATGGTAGATGTTAAAGTGGGGGGATAGAGTGGAGTACCTTCTGATGGGAGATGCATTAAGGGGGATAGAGTGGAGTAACTTCTGATGGGAGATGTTACGTGGGGATAGAGTGGAGTACCTTCTGATGGGAGATGTTAAAGTGGGGATAGAGGTGGAGTACCTTCTGATGGTAGATGTTAAGTGGGGATAGAGTGGAGTACCTTCTGATGGGAGATGTTAAGTGGGGATAGAGTGGAGTACCTCCTGATGGGAGATGTTACGTGGGGATAGAGTGGAGTACCTTCTGATGGTAGATGTTAAGTGGGGATAGAGTGGAGTACCTTCTGATGGGAGATGTTACGTGGGGGATAGAGTGGAGTACCTTCTGATGGGAGATGTTACGTTATAGGGGATAGAGTGGAGTACCTTCTGATGGGAGATGTTAAGTGGGGATAGAGTGTGGAGTACCTTCTGATGGGAGATGTTAAGTGGGGAGAGTGGAGTACCTTCTCATGGGAGATGTTAAGTGGGGATAGAGTGGCGTACCTTCTGATGGGAGATGTTAAGTGGGGATAGAGTGGCGTACCTTCTGATGGTAGATGTTAAGTGGGGATAGAGTGGCGTACCTTCTGATGGTAGATGTTAAGTGGGGATAGAGTGGCGTACCTTCTGATGGGAGATGTTAAGTGGGTATAGAGTGGAGTACCTTCTCATGGGAGATGTTAAGTGGGGATAGAGTGGCGTACCTTCTGATGGGAGATGTTAAGTGGGGATAGAGTGGCGTACCTTCTGATGGGAGATCTTAAGTGGGGATAGAGTGGAGTACCTTCTGATGGGAGATGTTAAGTGGTGATAGAGTGGAGTACCTTCTGATGGGAGATGTTAAGTGGTGATAGAGCGGAGTACCTTCTCATGGGAGATGTTAAGTGGGGATAGAGTAGAGTACCTTCTGATTGGAGATGTTAAGTGGTGATAGAGCGGAGTACCTTCTCATGGGAGATGTTAAGTGGGGATAGAGTGGAGTACCTTCTGATTGGAGATGTTAAGTGGGGAGAGTGGAGTACCTTCTGATGGGAGATGTAAAGTGGGTGTAGATGGGAGTAGCCAGGCCATAATGCTGGAACTCTTCAAATGGCAGCGTCCACTGCTGAAGTAGGCGGCTTGCATCATGCAACAGTGGTCATGATCCGAGACATGGTATTGAAGAATGGTTGGTCAGGGAACACAGCCTTGTCTAGACTGTCAGCAAGTTCCTTCCCCGATGACACAGCCAGGTCAAGACCCTTAAAACAACAAAACACCAAAATGTAACATATACTATATTTGGGATTACACTTTCTTAGTAAAGTAAAGATTCTAGTACTTTTGTTAGGTTGAGTCCCATCCGGGGTTCGAACCCACACCCTCAGAGTCAGGCATCTGAGAAGGCTAATTCCAAATATAACACATATTACATCTGACCACTTTTTAAATGGCATTGTGTATTCTCAACATTAACATTTTGAGAAAGGTTTTCTTAGTTTAAAACTGAGGTGACAGGTAAGGAGCAACAAAAACTACAATTTTTCTTTACTGGTTTCAAACAATATTTATGGATTGTGATGTCACATGCATTGTGACTTCCTGACGCAGGTATGACGTCATAGTGTCAACTGTCACTTCATCTGATGAAGGGATCAGTAATGATCCCAAAACGTTGTGTGGGAAAGAATAAAGAAGCTTAAATCCATAAAATATCTTGCTCAAGATCAGTTGAGACAGCAATCAGTGGTACTTATGTTGCTGGTGTTTCCTACCTTGGACATGGCAGCTCTGATGACAGGTTCAAAGTTGGAAGGCGGTGGAGCTGGGTGGCGTCGGAGTAAGGCACAGTCTGGGAATTCTTTGAGAGTCTTCTCAGCGACCGAGATGTTCGCCAGCAACATGAACTCCTCCACCATGGAGTTGGTCTCCCTGGGGAACAACAGTGTCCAACATCAGCTCGAACCACAGATAATCCAGTCCTAGTAGCTGTATATAATGGTGGTGTATCTCCAACCATGACGTGTTGAAAGTTAAACAACTATAAGTATATTTTGCATGAGGTCAAGACACACTGTATCACTTTATTCCTCGGTGCAACTAGGGGCGGGTATTGCAGAGAATTTTCATATTGCGATATATTGCGATGCAAAAGCATATATTGCGATATGTATTGCAATATATTGCAAGAAGTATTCTTAAACAAAAAACTACTTATAATCGAGTTAATGCTTGATTTATAAAGCATGAACACAACAAAATCACTATGCTTGATTAAGCTTTAATAGTGAGTGAGTGAGTTTGGCTTTACACCGCTTTTAGCAATATTCCAGCAATATCACGGCGGGGGACACCAGAAATGGGCTTAACACATTGTACCCATGTGGGGAATCGAACCCGGGTCTTCGACGTGACGAACGAACGCCTTAACCACTAGGCTACCCCACAGCCCCCTTAAGCTTTAATAAAAACATTTAATCATGACAAAATGTAAATAGTATTTGGCACAAATGAAACAAGCAAATATCCGAAGATTTCCAAGTGTTACGAAGTTTTCCGAATGCAAGTCAAAATACCGGTTTTCGATCAGCGTATCACAATGCGTATCGTTTTCATGTCTGAACCGGTAAATACCGGTAAACTGGTTATATTACGCAGCCCTAGGTGCAACACTTGGCAATATTCCAGCAAAATGACAATAGCCTGTACAACATTGGAGCACAGATCTGACAAACCAGAGGATGACTGCATGAGCAACACGGAACTCTCAGTCACATATCTTCATGCACATGATGACAATCACTGAACTTTCTATTCCAGATGCAATTACTTACAGATCACCATCGACAGCTGGAGTTCAGAGTTTAACAACAAACAAACGATCACCACAGTCTGGAGCCATTGTGTGCTCCGACTCACCTGAGCTCTTTGGTCTGAACTTCTATAGGGTCGTGTGTCTCACTGTCTACATAGAACCGGATCTCTGTCGAGGCTAAGCTAAGGGCACTGAAACATACACAGTCAATACAGCTTAAAAACAAATCTTTCAACAATTTTAGTTAAGAGAGTCCTATTCAACAAATGTCAGAAAAAACTCTAAACATAAAAATGACACTTCAGCTGTAATTGAAGTAAAAAGTTTCACAAAACAATATTGATTGAATTTGGTTTGTCAGATATGTTTATAAAGGGAAAATTAGTGGTTGGATAAAGCTAATTCCCTTGTGTTTGGTAGATATTATTTGGTTAGGTGATAACTACTGATAACCAATGTTTGTCCTACCCATTGTCAATTCTTCGTTTCTTCAAGATTTTTGCAAGTCTGTTTAATCCCCGTAAACTGACTGTGAGGTCATCTGTCAAAGTCGGATCATCTATCTTCATCTGGGCTTCAGCATATGTTAATGAAGCCTGGGAGGAAAGAAGAACAAGTGAGTGAGTGAGTGAGTGAGTGAGTGAGTGAGTGATGTGTTATGTAACCATCAGCAATATTCCAGCCATATTATGGAAGGGAACACCAGAAATGAGCTCCAAAGCATCATATCCAAATGGAGAATCAAACCTTCAGCATGACAAGTTGACACTTAAACCACTAGGCTTGGTCCTAGTGAGGTATTTAGGTTCACATATACCACTGAGTGAGTGAGTGAGTTTAGTTTTACGCCGCACTCAGCAATATTCCAGCTATATGGCGGTGGTCTGTAAATAACAAGTCTGGATTAGACAATCCAGTGATCAACAGCATGAGCATCAATCTGTGCAATTGGGAACCGATGACATGTGTCAACCAAGTCAGCGAGTTAGTCGCTGTTGATCACTGGATTGTCTGGTCCAGACTCAATTATTTACAGACCGCCGCCTTATAGCTGGAATATTGCTGAGTGCGGCGTACACTAAACTCACTCACTCACTCATTTTGTTTTGAACAGTATATTACATTCCTTTACCACAAACCATTGGGGGTGTCTACGTCCATTAACTTCCATGGTTGTGTTCCCATAGAACATGACTTATAGGAAGACTATAAATATGATTTTGTAACATGTAATTTTGTAGGATTTGGGAGAATAAAGACATGAAAATGTAGGTACTAACATATTATTGTCTGGAGAAAAGGACCTATGATTTACATGTTGTTCTACCTTTGAATCAATCACGCTCTTGGTAAAGGTGGTGTTGACAATGTCCCCATCTTGCGTCATCTCCCACAGCACAGAGAAGGCCAGTCTGTCCAGAGTAAACAACTATCATGTAATCAACAGTTGTGTTGGGTTCAGGGGAACTGTCTCCCACAGCACAGATAGTCCAACACGTTTCTCAAGTAAATTTTCAAGACAATCTAAAAATATTCCTGATATTCAGGGATATTTGTCTGAGGTATCAAAAATATCCTTGGCATGGGTTATCTCCCAATTGACAGACACCCATTTGGCAGACACCCAATTGACAGACACTGAACTAGAAGGTTAATTAGGGTAACACCTATGGGCATAATGGAACAGTCCACTGTCTTGTGAGTAGAGTAGGGTGAGCCTGAAACAGGTTCGTTACTGAGAAGTTTGATTGTGGGTAAATGGAACTTCGTTGTGATTAAATGATAAATGATTTCTCTTCTCAAAATTGATTTACTATCAATTACTGTCAAATATAAAACAGGTTTGTCACTGAGAGGTTTGATTGTGTTTATTGATAGAAAAGACCCCTCCCAGTAATAGCATATGTACAACAGACGTTAACTGAGAAAAAGTTTTGTTGGGGAGATATAGATACGTTTATGTACATAATTGAAAACATTCTGATTTGCAGTAAATAAGACACCTGCATTGCCATGTAAGATACGATTAAGACGAATCAGTGTTCTAATTTTAACAATACTTTCTAAAGATTGTAACAGTTATTGGACATTCAAGGAAGTAATGAAAAACATTCTCACAGCCATGGCCACAGTCACATGATGTGTCATATTTTAAATGTTTATTCTAAATAAATCTTGCACTCGTCATATATCTTAATATTGTGTGCAAAACATATAACTTCTTTATTCGATACCTGAATAATATTTAGGTTCACATTTGTCTTTATTTGATTTACATGATACAACAGTGTCGCAATTTGTAATAGCTAAGCTAATGCCGACTCCCCTTAGACTAGAAGGTTAAACCGAAATGTTTATGACAATACACTTTTTATATATAGCAGCAATAAAAATTCAAATTCTTTTCGTCCATCTTTCAAAATAAATAATATAGCTTCAGTTTGTACCTGTGTTTTTACTTGGACTATTCCATTATAATGTGTAGGTAACAGGTAGTAGATAATCTGTTCACTGAACCGTAAATGTTGTTGTTTTAAGGTGTCTGCGAACTGGCTGTCTGCGTAATGGGAGGACACCTTGGCATGAGTTACCATGGTTACACTGACCTGTCCACATTGCACCTCAGGGAACACAGGTTTGAACTGAGGAGTTCTGGCACCATGTCTATTCTCTGGAAGAAAAGATAGTGTGATGAAGGAAACATATTAAACAATCTTTAGGTGGTATAACAATTTGGAATTCCTTGATTCCGAGTCAATCAGAGGTATCTTATCACAACAACAACCTCGGCAACAGCCAATTTGACAGACAGATCCGCATGATCACAGTAAAGCTAGTATTGTTGATAGCTGAAGTGATGAAGAAAACATGTTATGCAACATATAGGTAATACAAGAATTTGGAATATTGCTAAACGCGGCATAAATCTAAACTCACTCACTCACTAACAACTAACCCGATCTACTACTGCTGAGTTCTACTGGCGTGATCTACTACTGCTGAGTTCTACTGGCGTGATCTACTACTGCTGAGTTCTACTGGCATGATCTACTACTTCTAAGTTCTACTGGCATGATCTACTACTGCTGAGTTCTACTCGTGTGATCAACTACTACTGAGTTCTACTGGCCTGATCTTTTACTGCTGAGTTCTACTGGCGTGATCTACTACTGCTGAGTTCTACTGGCGTGATCTACTACTGCTAAGTTCTACAGGCATGATCTACTACTGCTGAGTTCTACTCGTGTGATCTACTACTACTGAGTTCTACTGGCCTGATCTTTTACTGCTGAGTTCTACTGGCGTGATCTACTACTGCTGAGTTCTACTGGCGTGATCTACTACTACTGAGTTCAACTGGCCTGATCTACTACTGCTGAGTTCTACTGGCGTGATCTACTACTGCTGAGTTCTACTGGCATGATCTACTACTACTGAGTTCAACTGGCCTGATCTACTACTGCTGAGTTCTACTGGCGTGATCTACTACTACTGAGTTCAACTGGCCTGATCTACTACTGCTGAGTTCTACTGGCATGATCTACTACTGCTGAGTTCAACTGGCCAGTTCTACTACTACTGAGTTCTACTGGCCTGATCTACTACTGCTGAGTTCTACTGGCATGATCTACTACTGCTGAGTTCTACTCGTGCGATCTACTACTACTGAGTTCTACTGGCCTGATCTACTACTGCTGAGTTCTACTGGCGTGATCTACTACTGCTGAGTTCTACTGGCCTGATCTACTACTACTGAGTTCTACTGGCCTGATCTACTACTGCTGAGTTCCACTGGCCTGATCTACTACTGCTGAGTTCTACTGGCCTGATCTACTACTGCTGAGTTCTACTGGCCTGATCTACTACTGCTGAGTTCTACTGGCCTGATCTACTACTACTGAGTTCTACATGAGTGATTTACTACTGCTGAGTTCTACTGACATGATCTACTACTACTGAGTTCTACTGGCATGATCCACTACTACTGAGTTCTACTGGTGTGATTTACTACTGCTGAGTTCTACTGACGTGATCTACTACTACTGAGTTCTACTGGCCTGATCTACTACTAATGAGTTCTACTGACGTGATCTACTACTGCTGAGTTCTACTGACGTGATCTACTACTACTGAGTTCTACTGGCATGATCTACTACTACTGAGTTCTACTGGCATGATCTACTACTACTGAGTTCTACTGGCATGATCTACTACTACTGAGTTCTACTGGCATGATCTACTACTGCTGAGTTCTACAGGCATGATCTACTACTACTGAGTTCTACTGGCGTGATCTACTACTACTGAGTTCTACTGGCATGATCTACTACTGCTGAGTTCTACTCGTGTGATCTGCTACTGCTGAGTTCTACTGACCTGATCTACTACTACTGAGTTCTACTGACGTGATCTACTACTGCTGAGTTCTACTGACGTGATCTACTACTACTGAGTTCTACTGGCCTGATCTACTACTACTGAGTTCTACTGGCATGATCTACTACTACTGAGTTCTACTGGCGTGATCTACTACTACTGAGTTCTACAGGCATGATCTACTACTACTGAGTTCTACTGGCGTGATCTATTACTGCTGAGTTCTACTGACGTGATCTACTACTGCTGAGTTCTACTGGCGTGATCTACTACTACTGAGTTCTAAAGGCCTGATCTGCTACTACTGAGTTCTACTGGCGTGATCCACTACTACTGAGTTCTACTGGCATGATCTACTACTGCTGAGTTCTACTCGTGTGATCTGCTACTGCTGAGTTCTACTGGCGTGATCCACTACTACTGAGTTCTACTGGCCTGATCTACTACTGCTGAGTTCTACTGGTGTGATCTACTACTACTGAGTTCTACTGGCCTGATCTACTACTGCTGAGTTCTACTGGCCTGATCTGCTACTACTGAGTTCTACTGGCCTGATCTACTACTGCTGAGTTCTACTGGTGTGATCTACTACTACTGAGTTCTACTGGCCTGATCTACTACTGCTGAGTTCTACTGGCCTGATCTGCTACTACTGAGTTCTACTGGCCTGATCTACTACTACTGAGTTCTACATGAGTGATTTACTACTGCTGAGTTCTACTGGCGTGATCTGCTACTACTGAGTTCTACTTGACTGATCTGCTACTACTGAGTTCTACTGGCCTGATCTGCTACTACTGAGTTCTACTGGCCTGATCTACTACTACTGAGTTCTACTGGCCTGATCTACTACTACTGAGTTCTACTGGCCTGATCTACTACTACTGAGTTCTACTCACCCGATCAGTGAGGTAAACTGTGGTTCCTCTGTTAGCAGCCTCTTTGTCCAGCGCATTGCCAGGGCGGATAAAATGTGACACGTCCGCAATGTGAACTCCAACCTAGGTATGAAGAAAACACATTTCATATTACAGTCTGTCTGGCTCAAAAGCTGACCGATGAATTGCAATCTAACTCGAAAACTAATAAACATAACATACTCAATGAAACGCTGATCATAATCAAAACATCATACCCACTCTGTGAGGTTTTTGCAGAATTTTTGTCCTAAAAATAATAAAGTTGTTTAACAAACTATCATTGAAATATTGACACAGTTCACTGTTTGTTACGAGGGAGGAGTGCAGAGAAAGGGACAGCCAGGTGTTCAAGAAGTTCACAGACAAAAAGTTATTTATTCATTAACCTGTGCTGTGCCGTCTCCATCCGTTCTCAAACTTCTGGCTGTCCCTTTCTATGCACTCCTCCCTCGTAACAAATAGTGAACTGTGTCAATATTTTAATGATAGATTGTTAAACAACTTTTTTATTTTTAGGACAAAAATTCTGCAAACACCTCACAGAGTGGGTATGATGTTTTGATTATGATCAGCTTTTCATTGAGTATGTTATGTTTATTAGTTTTCGACTTAGATTGCAATTCATCGGTCCGCTTTTGAGCCAACCGGACTATACACTGAAATAAGTAAATACAGTAACTGACACCTTATAGTGAATCTGACCAAACATGACAGATCAATTTAAATTTTCTAAACATACCTGTTTTACCGCTTACTCACTGAGGACAAGGGGAATAATCCAATCTTAAATTTCCTTTCTTTTTCACTGTTTACTCTCTGAGGACAGCAGTAATAAACCAATGTGACAGTATTATGGTCTACAGGGCAGCTACAGCACAAGACGACACATGAAACTTGAGCCTTGTACACATGACAAGTCCCAAGCTGCACTGTTAACAATTTTTCCGGGGAATACATTTTGTTTACTTAACTCCAAACACAACTGCCCTTTACATTCAAATGTTTTTACAATCATTTGTGCACATGTATTCCCCCAATTCCATGCCATCATATCTCACTCCCAACAGAAGGCACAGTGAACAATCAACAGCACATATCTTCCATTGAACATGCTGAATAAAGTAATACTTTGTGGTTTATCACCTGTTTGACAAATCTGTGTTTATCCAGTACAAATGCTAGAAGTGCCAGAAGTATGGTAACAACTGTCATATGTCTTAGCTTGTTATTACACAGAGCATATTACCCTTTCAACTTTCTGTGTGTAAATAAGGCAGTTGTGTGATGACAAGTCTTCAAATTGCAAAACTCATACTTAGAGGAGAATACAAGACAACTGCAATAATTTGCTGGGTGAAAGATAAAGTCATCAGAAACATGTACCCCAATTTTTATTTCAAAAATATGGTTTATTATGTTTTTATCGCGAAAAACAGTTTCAGTTTCGGCCATTATGCATTTTCCGCTGGAACTCACATGAACTTTCCGCTCGTGACGTCATATGTGACAAGCGTCCGCCATATTGCCAAAGAACAAGCGCAACAGCAATACAAATCGTGTTGTTTCTGTTGTTTGTAAATGGTACAATGGTGTATTCCGTTGTCTGGGGGGTGCACGGAATCACCAAACAATGGAAAGAGTCACCATTTCTTCCGTTTTCCAAGTAAAGAGACAGATTTAGGCACGAAAAACGCTCCGATCATTCCGAGTCGGACACATATGAAACTCATTGAAAGAGACATGCACACATGGGGTATGTACAATATCTTGACACATCAATGAATAACTCAGCACAATTCCAAGACATTACGTGAACGTTTGCAGTCCATTCAGACCCTTGACTTCAGTATCTAGTGTGACCACCACGAGCGGCAATAACTGCAGCACAGCGTCTATGCATGGAGTGCACCAATCGATTGATGAAGGCCATTGGCACCTTGAACCACACTCTGAGAAAGGCCTGGCGCTATAAATTGGCTGTGTTCGGCCTTGGTATGACATTATTCCGTCTCCTCTGAATTTTATCCCAAAGATGTTCAACTGGGTTTAAATCAGGACTAAGGGCTTGCCACTGCATAATGTTGACACCGTTCTGCTGTAGGAAGTCCCGTGTAGCGCTGGCAGTATCATGCTGGAAAATGTTCTTCCAGTGACGTGCGAAATGTGGTATGACGTGGGGTCTGAGAGCTTGGTCGATGTAGCGCACCGCTGTGATGCCGCCTCCTCTCCCTGGACCAAGGTTCTGGAACACCACAGGGCCCACTCTCTGGTTCAGGCCTATTCCACCCCATACCATGATGCTTGCACCTCCCCATGAGTCTCTTTCCATAACACATCGGTCTGAGTAACGCTGGTCACATCGTCGCCATGTTCTTGTTCTGCCATCTGCAGTTGATACGCAGTACCGACTCTCATCTGTGAACAGAACAGTTCTCTATTGCCTGTATCACCAGTTTTGGTGTTGTAGGGCAAATTGTAGACGTTCACGCCGATGATGAGGGGTGAGGATAGGTCCACCGGTAAGGTTCACTGGCAATGGAGGTTCCACCTGTTAAGACGTCGGCGTACTGTATCAGTACTGATTGGTCTTCCGGGTGTTCCCACTGTCTGGCGTGCTGTTTCGGAAGCCTGCATGAAGGGATTCTGTACATGCTGTCGCACAACATGGTGGTCTTGTCGTCACCCTTGGTCTGCCAGTACGGGGGCGATCATTTGTGGTGTTGGTGGCCCGGAAACGTTGCTGCAGCCTGTAGATGGCCCAAACGTTGACCTGGAAGTGATTGGCAACGGCTTGTGCAGTGTGGCCAGCTTCAAGTATTCCTAGCGCCTGGTTCCTCTGATTTAAACATATCCTCTGAGCTGTCGTGAGTCGCGGCATCCTGCTAACGTTGTCATGTGAATGTTTCAACCAGGTTTGGGGGTGCATTTTATAGGGCTGGTCCTTGTGAACAGCACGTGCAGCATGAGTTGCATGAAAAACATGGAGAACACTGTACCATCTCCGAGATTAGGTTGCATTTTTGAGACCATTTCCTGGGTTCCATTCTGAGTTTGGGTAGGAATGTCTTTGCTCAGGTAAAGTTGGAGATGTTGTCAAAAATATACAATCAAAACATTAAATGAGTATACAGTTATCCGTTTCTGCAAAGGAAAATTCCAAACTGACGTTCTTTTGCTGCTTAGTATATATACATAGTTATGAGTTTACTTATGGAACATTTATCAAAAATATTACTTCCAAATAACTTATATTTGAAGAGCCTAATATCAAAGTTGACAAAAACTATGCATTTACGGCATATATTTAATCATTTCAAATAAATTTGACCAAATTAGAATGAATGACCAAATTTGCTGGGGCATTTTGTAGTTGGGGCAGTTTGACTGGTACCCATGAGAAATATAAACTTTATTAAAATCAGTGAGAGATTTCACATAAGCTTGAAAATGTTTCGCTATAATGTTCTTTGAGGTTTGGACCCTAAATGCTGCAGTCTACCCGAAACATTGCCGATTGCAATGGCAAATCATGAAGTACTTGTTACTTTCATTGTTTTCCATTTTGTCCAATTACGTACGTCGGGATCAGACTCGCTATTTGTCAGTAGTGTGTGCTGTGAAAGTTGTTCTGTATTCTCATTGGCTGACAAAATGTCATTCTAAGGCTATGACCGAGTACCATAACTATTTCCATAACCAAACAATGGGGAAACATACGTGGTCCTGACTAGTATTTTATAATTCACCAGTTTTCGGGGAATAACTTATCGGCGTCGCGAATATTATCTCTGCTCGACCAGCTGTATCAGGCTGAGACTTGATACATTATTAATGAGAACTAGGATCCTAATTATTTTCAACAAAATAATACCAGTGTAATTTTTGTAGCAGATAATATCTACTTCCCCCGTCTGAAGCATGATTATTTTATTTTTAAATCCCAGACACCCTACAGTCACCCATTTGACACAAAAGGAACTGCAATCAAAAATCAAAAATAATTCTTAGGGACTTGTCATATATTTATAGGGGTGGGTTTGCTGGTTGGAACTGTATCACATTTTGCTGACAATTATTAAAATCTAAATATTTTAGATATTTAAATACTTACCTTACCATAGGTCTTATGCATATTACCTCAAGCTCCGCTTAAAGAGATCAGACAGTCGTTGATTCGCCATTCTATAGAACGGCCACCTCGTGTATCGACGAGTGTACAGGCAACGGAAGTGACGTGATCTCCCCTCCCACGCAAGCGCGGTCCATCCAAAATCACTTTTACTGACCAGGTCCGAAGAGCCCAGAGAGGGGAGGAGCATCCAGCGTTGGGAGGGAGTTACCGCCCTATGGTAAGGTAAGTATTTAAATATCTAAAATATTTAGATTTTAATAAATTTTAACTTACCTTACCATAGGTCTTATGCATATGGATTCGACAGTAGGACGGTGGTGTCGGGCTCCAGAGGACCGTCCCCACGAAAAACCCACATGCCAAGGGAAAACCAGAAGAAACTACTGAATCGCCAGACTGTCGCAGGAGGCGCCTGGAACAGGAGACAGATAGTAACTAAAGGCAACCCTAAGGAAAACAAATACACCCAAAGTGTAAGTTAACCTGAAGACCAGAAGGTAAGAAGAAGTAGTTACCTAATGGGCGGTAGGACGGGTGAGTTGCTGAGCAACCACCAGTGGACCAAACGATTGAAGACCTTCCACGTCCTCGACGGCCAAATCCCGCAGGTAATGACTAGCGAAGACAGTAGAGGACTTCCAAAAACAACCCTCCATGATGGCTGGAACGGTGCAGTTTCTGTGGAGAGCCATGGTGGATGCCAGAGCCCTAATCTCATGCGGATTATTGGCTGTAGGATGAGGCAGATCTTATGCGATCGTGAGGGCGGTCAGGATGGTAGTACGGAGCCAGAGCGCAAGCGTATTCTTATTAACTTCACCTTTGGCCACAGAAGACAACGGGATGAACAGTCTCTTACGAGACTGCCTCCTGGAAGATGACTTGGCAATATAAATCTTAAGTGCCCTCACGGGACAAAGCAGCTGTTCCTCAGCGTCGTGAGGTCCTA